TGCTTCTTCAAAGCTTGAAGTCACAAAGTAGGCGTTTTGGAAGGTGGTCACAAGACATTCGGCCTTGATGACCTCCTCGGGTACGAAAGGTTTCTTCACAGACACATCACTTAAGGCATGCTAAAACAAAAAAGAAAGGCGTGGTATTCCAGGTTTCCCGCATTCCTGTCAGGCATATCTTTAGATTTTAGAACTGCTGTCCTCACCAATAAATAGGTCTAGGGGTAGAAGAACTAGAAAAACGTTTCCTAAAAGTTATTCTTTTACTTGTTGGCTTTTAATCCAGTTTTTAAGACAGATTTGTCTGCAGTATTTAGGGCAGGTGCGAAGGCCCCAGTGTCTTTAACTGTTCAAAAGGGGCAACATATTCCATTTTGAACTTTCCATTACTTGACATGGTTCGATTCACTTGAGCCGCTGCTGCCTGCTAGTTGACCACCATAGTTGTTCTCGTTATGACTCTTCGACTTCTGCCTTAGCAAACTAAACCAATTAAAGATGACCTACCGCAAGCCGATATAACCTCACCTCTTCATTTGAACGTTTGCTGGTGGCTCTGGGATCAGAGTATGTGCTTCTGCCATCAATCATCGTACTGGAAAACGTCGACCCTGAACAATCAACCAAATTATCACTGACGAATCTGATATGATTTCCAGAACTCGGAGCAGTTCAGTACTAAGGCCTTCCCTTGCCGTCGTGGGTTCCGATCACACCGAGTTTTTCACAGTTGGGTCACCGATTGTTAACAGTTTGCGAAAACTTAACCAATTTTCGCCCGTGACGTTTCTGATGAAGGTGATGAAACTCCCACAGACGTGCCCCCATTCAAGGCAGAGCATCGGCCCAGTTCAGTGACTATGAATCTGAATTTTATTATCTGAATAATGTGCATCTTAATGCACTAGATGTTGGCTTTTGTTACCTTCAACTCTCCGATGGAGGATAATAAACCTGCTCCGTAAGCGCGAAGCTCCCCATCCTGATTGCACAGTCCAAACTCAACCGTAAAGAAGTAGACCTGTAAGGATTTAAATAAAACCGGTTGTATTCTTAATTTATGTCGAATAGCAGTTAGTATATAACTTTAAACCAAAATATTTGAAGGAAAACTGGGGTAGTACACAGAGCTGACGAAAAATCACTGGATGTTTCTTCTGGGGAGCGATATGATGAAAATGGTTCATCTAATCATACAAAAGTTACCCAATTGCAAGCGACGCCGCAGATGTCCAGCAGTGTCATCTTAACCAGTTAGGCAAATTCAAAGTGAACGACAGGGGATTTGACAGGCCGAATTTACTTTAGGTATAAGTGCCCCCGCCTTCATTGCTTCATTTCGTCGCGACCACTTGAGTCACTACTGCGCTGTCAAAACGTGCTAGTCAATTCCAAACTTCAGCGCATTGGATGGGACGGCTAACTCTGGTCGTTGTGCATTCAACGTTCGCTCTTTGTTTGCGCATTCGCACTACAATATGCCTTGCGTACACATTACCTTCAGTCATCCCCACCCCTTTCTTCTCCTCACCCTGCCATCGTTTTCTTTTTATTTTTCGCCCTCGAGAGCTGGCTGAACATCCCGCGAAAGTTGCTCTGGGGCTGAATTTGTAGTCCGAGATTCATACTCGTGTGCTTATATGCTTTAGTAGTATTAACTCTGGAAAATTCAGCAATGTATCTCGATTCGGTTAGGATTTAATATGTAGACCCACTGAAAAAACAAAGCACTGGGACTCCTGACATACATGAAGGATGAAAATATTAGTTTTGTCAGTAGGACAGATAGACGCGGCAGTCAGCGGGATCTGTGGAAGGCATTGAGAAAACTCGCATTTCCTCTTGATTACTCCAAGAAGGCAACGGAGAAGACTGTAAAAATTAGAATATGCGAGTGGGTGTGTATAAACGGACCGAAAACGGATAATCAAAGGCTACTTATTAACGTAGACCGGACTGGGAAGACGATATGCAGCAGGCAAACTTAACCCTAACCCTAACCTTAAACCGAATTTTTTTTCCTAATCCTGAGATTTAACACAACGCGAACCCTCAACCAAACTCTGACCCTCAAAAACCCAACACTGGCCTTAAATCCTAAGCCTGACCGCAAAATCCAAGCCTCAATCCTGAATTCTAATTCTGACCCTAAAAGCCGTACCACGGATGAACCCTAACTGAACATGTTTGTCTAGATCAAAGAAGTAGGCAGGTTGTAGGAACAAGAACGTAGTTTTCCACGTTAAGTAACTACCCATGTTTCTACAGCCAGAATTTGCATTCCCATTTCGTGACTCTTAGTGATGCTAGTTCCCGCTGCTCACAGAGGCACCCGCAAAGCCTGGATCCTCGAGAAACGTTATGATACCTTCCACCCACTTCTTCTGTCATCTCCCCCACTCATTCTGTTCCTCCCCCTCCTCCTCCTCCTCCTCCTACTCCTCCTCCTGCTCCTCCTGCTACTCCTCCTCCTCCTCTTATAGCAATTTTACTTATTCTTTTTCTTCCTATTCCTCCTTTTCCTCGCTATTATTATTATTATTCTCTTCCTCCCTCTCCTTCGCCCACTCGTCCCTCTCCTTGGTCCGACGGTTTGGCTTGGGGGGGGGGTGTTGTACTGAAGTCTTTCCAAGATATTTTGCAAGCCATAACATCTGCACATGTGTTTCTGTATCATTATACTATAAGTGCTGGCAAGCTTACGTTAAAGATCCAGTTGTCTATCAACTTACTGAAGCCAGACGTTTCACTTCGTCGTCGGAGGCTCCGAGCGATGCTAAGCCTAACTCCTGAGAGAATCGCGCGAAGCTCGGATCAGCTAGAAGCGGCATATGACCCATCAGTTCGTGAACACAGTCGCTAGAAAAGGGTTTGTGCGTTAGGCAGATATAATAACGTTTTGAAGTAAAAAAACCGAAAAATCCAAAAGTGTAAGTTTCAGCATGAAACACACCAATTTACACCCTCGTCGTAATTCTGACGAAGCAGGTCACTGAGCGTCTCGACCGCAAGGGCCTGTGGTATGGACGTGAAGAGTGAGACGACGTCAAATCGACAAAATAAGGGCGGTCACGATCGAACCGAATGAGAGGATGGTGTCATTTGACGTCGTCTCACTCTTCACGTCCATACCACAGGCCCTTGCGGTCGAGACGCTCAGTGACCTGCTTCGTCAGAATTACGACGAGGGCGATGGCCAGCCCACAGCTCAAGATCTCATAGAACTCATGGGGCACTGCCTCAAGACATTTTTTACCTTCGAGGGGATCACCTATGAGCAAATTAAGGGCACTCCGATGGGTTCACCAATCTCCGGACTCATTGCCGAGGCCGTTCTGCAAAAACTCGAGAAACGACTGTTCGGGGAATACAAACCCAAGTTTTGGGCGCGCTACGTTGATGATACCTTCGTAATCATCGATCAGGATAAAATTAGCTACTATGAAGAACTATTGAACTCAATCGGCCTGGATGTCTACCGACTGCTCTGTCAACCGCCACATCAATTTACCTCGCCCTTATCTGGTTTTACGGACATTCTTGACGGGGGACAGTCACGGCGCGGGACAATCGGGGCCGCCAATTATCACCGCGGCCGACGAAGATGGGTGGAATTCAGGTCACGGTGACATGCGGGTCGGATGCAGCCACGCAGGCGGCATTGATGGGCCAGGCTTTGAACAAAGTGCGCCATAAAAGGATAGCTGTGTGCACGACTGCTCAGTCTCTGAAGATGGGTAGAAGAAACGACT